CTCGGCCGGGGGTGGTGGCGGCGCGGCGACCGCCGTGCAGGTCGCGATGGCGCGGCTCGAGGATGAGTTCAGGCATGTGCTGTCGTCCCGCGCGCTCGACCTTGAGATCGAGGCGCTCGCTGACCTCGGCGGCTCGCTCTCCATCTCCAGTGACCGGTCGAACTCGGCCTCGTCTGCTGAGCTCCAGGTGGTGGATGAGGATGACTCCGTGTCGTCGTTGGTTGGGCGGCGGAGCAGCTACCGCTCGCTCCCCAGCATCCGCGAGATCGACCTCCTCCCCGACGACGCCGTCTCCGACCTCCGCGCCATCGCCTCCCGCATGGCTGCGGCCGGGTACGGCCGCGAGTGCGCGCAGGTGTACGCCTCCGTCCGCAAGCCGGCGGTCGACGCCTCCCTCCGCCGGCTCGGCGTCGAGCGGCTTAGCATCGGCGACGTCCAGCGCCTCGAGTGGAAGGCCCTCGAGGCCAAGATCCGCCGCTGGATCCGCGCGGCCCGCGCCGCCGTCCGCGGCGTCTTCGCCAGCGAGCGCCGCCTGTGCTTCCTCATCTTCCACGACCTCCCCATCTCGAACATCACCGTCACCGCCGCCGCCCCCGCCACGCACGACACCCCCTTCGCCGAGGCCGTCAAGGGCGCCGCGCTGCAGCTGTTCGGCTTCGCCGAGGCCATCAGCATCGGCCGCCGCTCCCCCGAGAAGCTCTTCAAGATCATCGACCTCCACGACGCGCTCTCCGACCTCCTCCCGGACGTCTCCGACATCTTCGCCGCCTCCAAGGTCGCCGAGTCGATATACGTCCAGGCCGCCGAGATCCGGTCGCGGCTCGCCGACGCCGTGCGCGGCATACTCTCCGAGTTCGAGAACGCCGTGCTCCGTGACCCGCCCAAGACGGCGGTGCCCGGCGGCACCGTGCACCCGCTCACCCGGTACGTGATGAACTACAGCAGCCTCATCTCCGATTACAAGGTGACGCTCTCCGAGCTGATCGTGTCGCGGCCATCGGCGAGCGCGCGCCTCGCCGCCGAGGGCAATGAGCTCGCGCCGTCCTTGGCCGAGCTCGACCTCCCCGAGCCTGACAACCAGACGCCACTTGCTGCTCATATCATCTGGATCATTGTTGTCCTGGAACACAACCTCGAGGGCAAGGCCTCACTCTACAGGGACACGGCTCTCTCGCATTTGTTCTTGATGAACAATGTGTACTACATCGTGCACAAGGTGAAGGATTCGCCGGATCTATGGAATCTGATTGGTGATGATTACTTGAAGCGGCTTACGGGTAAATTCACAATGGCAGCCACGAACTACCAGCGCAGCGCATGGTTGAAGATCTTGAATTGCTTGCGAGACGAGGGGCTCCATGTAAGTGGTGGCTTCTCGTCAGGGATATCCAAGTCAGCGCTGCGGGAGCGGTTCAGGTCCTTCAATGCCGCATTCGAGGAGGCGCATAGGGTGCAATCAGGATGGTGTGTGCCGGACACACAGCTGAGGGAGGAGCTAAGGATCTCAATTTCAGAGAAGCTGGTGCCGGCATACCGGTCATTCCTTGGCAGGTTTCGACATCATATTGAGAATGGGAAGCACCCAGAGTTGTACATCAAATACTCAGCAGAGGACCTTGAGATTGCTGTGAACGATTTCTTTGAGGGGGTTCCTCCTTCCCCACATATCAGGAGGAGATCACATAGCTGAAGTTGTTGTACATCAAGCATTCAACAGGGGTGCTGTTGTTATGTATTCTTTGATTCTTCAGAGGAAACCAATGCCAGCATTTGCTGCCCTGGTTTTACTCTTTGGTACTTATAAGGGTATAGGTGGCGATATTTTCAATCAGAGATGACATCTGAAATCATTTATGGGTTCTCGTTCAAGCTGTCAGTCCCCTCCATTGTTCCTCTGTAAGAGAACTCGTTTCATTTGTTACACAATTACTGTTATATATAATTTTGCAAGTAGCAAGTTCATATAGAACTATTCTTCGGTAATTTTGGCTAGTTGGGACTGAGCTTTTGTTAACAATTATCTGGAGAGAATACTTGTGGATTAGATGTAAAAATGATTTATACCACTCTCTTAGTCTCTTCTACCACAATTTTATAATGTGATACTGTTATCTATTGGGTCTTCACATCACATCCTTTCAGGTGTTAAACCGATAGGAGATTACAAATGCAGCATCATGGATGCCTCCATCTGATTTGTGTTTAGTCCAGTATTTTATTATGCAATTTCTATTTGGAAAGATGCATGCTATTCTTTTGTGGCCTAGGAGTGACTCAGTATCTGATCAATTGTATGACTGCTGGCAGATGATAAAGTTGAAGTGTATGGCGGGATAACTTGTTATATTTCTTCTTGTTTTGAGTTGGATAGAAAAGAGGTACTCGGTGTAGAGGGAAAATAAGATAAAACTATGACAGAAGGAAAGAGGTAGAGGAAATATCCAGTTTTAGCTTCCTCTTGCTTTGCTTTTATAAACTAAGATGATTGGATACTGCTGTTTTCAAACATGACGAGACAATAATGCAACATTGCTCTGAATCCCTTTTTTCATGTTATTACCACTCCTCTTAACAACAGCATAATATTGATTTACTGATGCTATAATTGAAAAAAAGAAGTGTGTCCATATTGTTGCACAACATTGTTGCAGTACCTTTGGCACAAGCACATTACATACATTAGAATTCACTGATAAGTGTTGTATGCTATGCTGTAGTGTGCAGAGGGCTATAGGCTGCAGGGAACATTACAGTGATGCTGCACAGTTGATCTGTTCTTTTATCTACAAAACATTCTTGATGAGTTGATGGCATTGCTAGTTTGAGGATATCATTCTTGTTGTTAATTGAAAATTGTCTTCACATTTTATGCTCTAGTTATTCTTTGATATATTATATTTACTTAATAAGTTTCCCTGAATTATGTATACCAACAAGGCAACAAAACAAGATACCTAAAGTGCAAAATTGCAAAGCTTAACGCAATTTCATGGATGAACTTCAAGAAACTCGGCACCTAAAGTAGGCAACCAAACAGACTCAGATCTGTATGGTACTGTTTGATTAGTTATCAGTCTATTATATGTAACATTGTTGATCATGGCTGACCTCAAATCTTTTGTAAGTTCACATTTTTGTGTTGAACCAACAATAGTCTGTTGTGTTATTGTATTGTTGTGTGATACTGTAATACCACACAGATGACTGAGTTTTGATAACGTTGTAACTTTCTTCTTGTTACTGTCCACTACACTATACATTGATTTGTCAGAATGAATTGATCGAGCATCTCAAAATGGCATAACCACCGAATAGTTTGCCTGTGATAGAGGATATGTATCAGAAAGTTTTTCTTTTTTCTGAAAAAGAAAAAGGGAGCAGCCATATGGTTCCGCTATTCCATAACTCAGCAAGCATGTGCTGTTCTCTGCTTCGTTGGCTGCCAAACTCTGCACATGACTGTATCTGCAAGAACTAATCCTTGATCCCCTTGTGATTGTGAATGAAGGAATGTGTTCAGTGGCTTTTGCAATGCATTATGCAGGGAGAAACTTCACAATATAATGCATATAATGGCTCCTCAAGCTTGTTCCAAATTGTGTCACAAATTCTCCAATAGCTTTCTACATGTGACTCCGTTCACAAATATGTTGTCGGTTTGACTAAAATAGATACAATATCTATTGTTGAGTTCTTTTTGTTAACACAAAGGGTGACTAGCTCCCAACTGAAAAATGTTATTAAAGTACTTAATAACTTCAAATCTAACTTTATCTGACTTTATGTTACTTAAACTTATTAGTAGACTAACATCAAAACTGACGAGTATTTATAAACATATATTACCTCCTCGTTATTCCATTTCTTGACATTTTGCCCATGGAACAAACTTTCATTTTCGTTGTCTAGTCAAAATTTAATTGGCTAAAATCAAAACTAACATGTATTTATAAATAGGAATTACCTATATCAACAAAAGGAAGAGACCGCTTTAATCGATGTGCTTGAGAGCAAGTTTAATAGTATAGCCAACTACTAGCTAACTAGCTCCAATTCATCTATAGCCAATCTAATAGCTTATTTATACAATAGTTACATACTACACTATTGATACCTAGTCCCACCTGCCATACACACATCGCGTCTTGGAGTCCGTGCTACAGCTGGCTATGCACTTTTCTCATTTATCTCCTTAAAATATGTTTGCAGCTAGCTTATAATCTGCTATTGTACCTGCTCTGAGCAGCTAGCTCCCGTACCACCATCGCTTTCAAACGGTCATTCCTCTAAGCATGTGGAACTTTCTTTTCTCCTCTAATTCCATAGAAATTAAATGAGAATAAAGGGAATTAAAATTTAAAATTATACTCTTCATTTTTTTTCTTAGATATATCCTAGATGCAATTTTGTTGGTACAAATATAACGTTGATATCGCTGAATCGTTGTGCGAAAGTGATGAGCGTGCAAGACCGTTTTGGAAATTGAACGATTAGTGATTAATTAATAATAATTAGTGATTAATTATCCTGACCATTGATTCAACATAATTAATCACTAATTAGCGACAAGAGTGACATCCTTTTCGGTCTTGCTAGTTGGCCATGTGAGAGTGAGACCGGGTCTCGCAGACTAGCCGCACGGCCCGCACGACACTGAGCAGTCTCACGCATTTACCGTGCAACACCGTAATATCGACACCGCAATATCCACAGTATATTTGTGTTAATAAAATTGCATCCAGCATATTTCTGAGAAATAAAAAAATAAATCGTATATTTTTAAATTAATTCGAATGCTAGGAGTATATCCATTTTTCCTGACATTTTGCTCATCGGATCGGAGCACATTCTCTCGTGCCATTCAGCGTATGGCATCTGGCCCAAACTGCGTTGACCGGCCGAAGAGAAAAATTGCTGGTCTATGACCGCAACAACCACTAACCGACAACCACGTGGCCGCCGAATACTAAACAAACGGACACCCTCATCACAGCCAAGCCAAAGCTTTGCCCCTGGAAATTGGAATTCAACTGGCCACATAACTCATTCCATTTCCACGCACAAACAAACGCCAAAAATCGCCGAGAAGAATCCGAAGAAAACCTCACGGCGGCGGCGGCGACCGGCGACCAGAATCGGCGAACGGGCACGGGCCGAGCAGATCTAGGCGAGGGAGGGAGCGATGGGGTCGAGCGAGATGACGGCGACGGAGGTGGCGGCGCTGCTGGATCTGAAGCCGCACCCGGAGGGCGGCTACTACACCGAGACGTTCCGCGACGGCTCCGTCTCCGTCACCACCGCGCAGCTCCCGCCGCAGTGTACGCCCCCGAGTTTGCTCACTCGCTAGGGTTTAGTCCCCCCGTGCTTTGATTCTGTGTTTGCTCTTTGCTAACTTACTCAGTCGCGTATGTATGGTTCGGGTAGGAGATGTAGTGGTGTGCGATCGGGTTGAGCTGGAATCGAGGTTTTTGTTTGTCTCCTCGACTTTGCATGTTTAGGCCTTAGATTGGGTTGTAGCGTGGTGTATGAGTGCCGTTTGACTAATCTTGTTTTTTGGTGGCATGTGTTCGTGCTCCAAATTCCATCGACGCCGCACTTTCATCACACCCACGATTTTTCTTGCGATAGTGCTGTTACTCTGTTAGCATACCTGAACCCGGATCGTCTCCAACTTCTCCCAATTTTACATGGGGCTGCTTGTGGTTGTACTTTATGCTTGGAGCCTTGCAGACCTTTGATTTTGATCCAATAATAAGTAGTAGTACTAGTATGCTCGTAGCCATTAGTGTTCCTGTAATCCTGTTTACATACATCTGAGATTACGAAATCTGTAATGTTTGTCAAGATATTGTTGATGGGCGTTGGGCCAATCTGAACAATGTAGTAATCGACATAAATGTTTCAATACAAGCTTAATAGAAGCCGTGGTAATGTTGATAGTAGCTGCCTTTTGAAAACTGTTAGCATATTAAATTATTCTTCCTCTGCTGCTCGTAGAATCTGTAATTGAAATGCAAGAAAGCATTCATGTAAAAAGATATCAGTAGAAGGATAGTAGCTGCCTTTTCAAAAACTGTAGTGTGTTAAATTATGCTTCCTCTGCTGTCTTGTAGAATCTGTAATTGAAATGGAAGAGAAGCATGCATATGTAGAAAGATATTTGTACCAATCAAAATAGAATTTTCTAGGAAATGTACAACGCCATAACTTAAGACTGTTGCTCAAATGGCCAATAACTGATCAGATGCTGAGAGTAAACATTTCCCATCACTAATTTGAAAGAACATGTATGCATCACAGCTATGTTCAATAAGGACCTTTGAATCGTGAATAGTGTTCCTGCTACTTTGATATTCCACCTTTGAGGCCTTTGATTGGTAATGTTACTTTGACTCGTAGGCAAGAAACAAGATTATGCTTTCCTCATCAAAAAATGATCTTCATCCAAAACATCTGTTCTCCCTCCTCTCTTGTGCGAGTGTTGTCCTATATTAATACCGGCAGTTGATTATCGAAAGTCAGTAATTGTCCTACTTATTGTTTGGCCTGTCAATAACTCAACATTAGCTAAGGGTAGGAGGGGATGGATTTGACATGGAGAGAATGAACAACTGGCATATCTTACCACTCCTTGATGTACTGGCACTCTTGACATCCATTTTTCACTATTGAGTATTGTGTGATTCAAAACAGACATGTTAATATATTATCGAGCTGATATAGTAATGTTCATACTTTTTTGTAATGTCCTGCAGACAAGGTCGACCGTGCTATCAGCACTGCTATCTACTTCCTGCTTCCATCAGGGAGTGTTTCTCACCTCCATCGCATTCCCTGTGCTGAAACATGGCACTTCTACAAGGGAGAGCCTCTCACGGTTAGAATATTTCTTTCACCTTGTTCACCCATTTGCCTGCTTATCCATGACTAGAGAAATTTCCACATTGTATGAAAGATAGCCTCTAATGAAGGCTGCCCTCTCCTTATTGTAGGTCTTTGAGCTACACGATGATGGACACATTGACCTCACTGTCATCGGTCCACACCTGGAGGCTGGCCAGCGTCCCCAGTATACCGTGCCACCAAATGTGTGGTTCGGTTCTTTCCCTACCCTGGATGTTGAATCATTCGCATCTGATGGCAGCGTTCTTGTCAAGTCTCGAAAGAGGGATCCTGAGCTTCATTACTCCCTAGTTGGCTGCACTTGTGCCCCTGGCTTCCAGTATGAGGATTTCGAAATGGCCAATTTTGATGATGTGAAATCCATTGCTCCTAAGGCAGAACCGTTCCTCAAGTACCTTATTCCTTCCACCAAGTAATCATGTTTTGAGCTCAACATACTGTATTTTAGCAGCCTGTCTGGCAAGATTGCCTGACGGTATTGGACGCCATTTTTAGTGTGATTGCTTCGGGTTTGTGTTCTTGTCTTGTACACTTAAGAACACGCATGTCCTTGGTGATAGTTGTAACACTCTCCTGTACGAAAACAGAATAAAACACTGGCAATGTTGAGATGAAATTTGCTTGTGCTAAGCCTTCAAAAGTTGGAACTGGATAGTGATGAAATATATATACTGTGAATTACCAAATGAATCATTGTCAATGAACAACCAAATTGAAGTCCTCTGAAGTTAAGCTGAATTGCAATCTTTATCGACTTCTATACGCAGTTTTAACTACTCCCTCCTACCCAAAAAAGAATCGATTCTCAGAAAAGTTTATTGTTTTTAAGACGGAGGGTGTACTGAACAATTACAGGGACGAATTGACATTATTTTTTTTCTCCTTCCTTGCAGGATGGACTGAAAGATCTTGTGCCAAAGACAAAAGCATCCTCATCAGATTTCTCTGAAACAAGCAGTGGAGTGGAGCAGCGGATGATTGCAAACCAATGCTTTGCTCTCGTCGGGTTTTGCCTGCTCTAAGCGTTAGAGAGTGTACGTCTCTCCCTCTCTGTGTGTGCGTTTTGGTGCAGTACAAATTGTACGTTTAGTACTAGCTAGTACTATCTGCTTGGACACTGCACGTTGTTATTAGTTATCTGCACTGTACTTCTACTTCCTAACCCTGTTGATTAGCGTACGATCAGGCATGCACGCTGGGGCGTCGCTCTTAGCTAAAGTACCGTACCTTGACTTTCTTCACGTTGTCAGCAAGGAGATCCATCGAGTGGTATCAACCTACAAGAAAAGAAAAAAAATGAACGAGAAATCCATGTGCTTGCTGCTTCTAAAGAAGCAACTAGCAAGTGACGATGTATTTACATATTTACACATGCATTATCCCAGTATACGCTATTCTACTTTAATTAAGTGCTCCATCAGCAAAACAGGATGCAACAAGCTTTACATTGCAAGAACCGTACGACACACATACTAATTAAAATTAGTACTCATACTGTCCTAAAATATAAGCATTTTTAAATCCTGACATGGTCTTCGAGATGCTAATTTGACCAACGTTATCTATAAAAAGTAAGATATTTTAAATAAAAAGACTTATATATTATAATAGTTTGTTTAATGATAAATCTAGTAACTTTAATTTTACTGATTATTTTTATTTTCTTTTTCTATTAATAATTAAAATTAAAAATGTTTGACTTGTCGCTATACTTAAAAAATGCTTATATTTTGGGATGGACGGTGGAGAGAAAATCTGCCTGATTGATGATCCAATGGCATCCGGGCCGTAATAAACGCGTAAGATCAGGGGCCTGGACTCGATCGTCAGTGTGTGTGTGCTCGTAGTCGTATTAAACCCCGACCACGTCGCGCCGCCGCCGGCAAGCCTAGCCACCACCCACAGATCGGAGAGAGAAAGAGAGAGAGCTTGCTGCTCGACCTCGCCGCGCCGCCGCGATGATGCACATGAGCTTCTACTGGGGCACGTCCGTCACCATCCTCTTCGACGGCTGGCGCACGTCGGGGTGGCCGGGGTACCTCGCCTCCCTCCTCGCGCTCTTCCTCGCCGCCGCGCTCTACCAGCACCTCGAGGCCCGCCGCGTCCGCCTCAGGGCGGGTCGTCGTCACCGCGCCGGCGGCGGCGGCGGCGCCGCCTCCTCCGCCGCCGGTCCCGTCGTGCCCGCCGCGTCCGACGCGCGCGCCCTGCTGTCCGCCGCGGGGGGCCGCCTCGGCCTCGGCCTCGGCCTCGGCAGGCGGTGGATGAAGGAGCCCCGGGCTGCTGCTTCCGCGGCGGCGGCGGCGCTGTTCGGCCTGAGCGCCGCGGTCGGGTACCTCCTGATGCTGGCCGTCATGTCGTTCAACGGCGGGGTGTTCCTGGCCGTCGTGGCGGGGCTCGCCGCCGGGCACCTGGCGTTCCGCGGCGGCGCGGACGAGGCCGACGGCGGCGTGGGGGACGACGAGCTCGAGAGCCCCTGCGCCTGCGCGTAGGGATGGTTTTCATGGTGCTACGTACGTGCCATGGAGCTAGACATGGACATGGTACGGCTGACTCTTGCCCCTTTTATATCAGCTTCTTCTAGCTCTTGGTGTTGGCTTCCTGCAGCTATCAATCTGTGTATCAGTGTGTGTAGCCTCTTCAAATTAAACTTCGTGCCGTTTGTGCGTTGTATACTTGATGTAAATTCAAATCATGTGTATACTTGCAATTTGACGAATTGTGTCATTGGCATTCGTTTTCATGTACTAATCAAGTAGGCATAAAGTTTGCCCGTGCAATTTCTCATACAAGGTGTCTAGGAAGTATGTATTGGTATTTCCATTATTAGGTACATATACATACTAACGGGGGCGGATCTAGGATTGAATGGGAGGGAGGACATATCTTCTTCTTGCTCCAGCCCCCTACTCTTCTTCCCCATTCCCTCTCTCTTTCTCTCTATGGGGATCTAATGTGGGTAAGTCCCCCCTAGCACCCGTATTGAATCCGGCCTCTGCATACAAAATTTATGACCATTTTGATTTAGATCTAATGCCCATAAATATTAAAAACCATGTAGGTACATTTTTAATAGAAATTTGTTGATGTTAGAAATGTGATGGTGTTGATTTGAACGTGTGGTAGGTAGCAGACTCACCTATATGTGCGTATGATATGTGTGCATAGAGATGTGCATGCTTGTGAATCTCTCGTGTGTAATTGAGAAAAGATATCGGGACATTTTGGATTGCTACCCTATCGAATTTTACCCTATCAAAATTTTGGTACGGTAGGAAAAACCAACCATCTTTATTAAAACAATACCTTTACTAAAAAAAATTGGTTTTTGGTGAACTTATCTCTTATAGACATATTTTGGCTTCAATCCAAATAAACATTTTTAACTCTCCGTAGACCTGCCAAAGTTTTAGTATGGCGTCAATCCAAACAGGCCTATTGTTTCTTGGGATGCTACAAGTACCAGGCTATCATGGGTGTGATTAGTTTTTTAGGTGTAAAGTTTTTGAAGTATACGGACACACATTTGAAGTATTAAACGTAGACTAATAACAAAACAAATTACATATTCCGCCTGTAAACTGCGAGATGAATTTATTAAGCCTAATTAATCCATCATTAGCAAATGTTTACTGTAGCACCACATTGTCAAATTATGGCGTAATTAGACTCAAAAGATTCGTCTCGCAATTTACATGTAAACTGTGCAATTGGTTTTTTTTGTCCACATTTAATGTTTCATGTATGTGTTCAAACATTTAATGCGACGTTTTTGGCTAAAATTTTTTTGGAATCTAAACAAAGCCCATATCTTTCTCCCTGTCTAAAGCCCCTTATCTGCAAGCCCAAATGTTGGCATATTATTGGGTCAGGCCAGGGACTTGGGATTCCATAATTGGAAAAAGTATACCGAAGGTCCCTCAACTTGTCATCGAGTTACAAAATCGTCCCCAAAACGCAAGACGTCCCTTAACTTATAAAACCGTTTACAGGTCCCTCGGTGGTTTTGACGCCGGTTTTGTCCCACGTGGCAGCTGAGTCAGCGTGGGATCTACGTGTCAGAATGCCACGTCATCACCCTCCATGTCTTTCCCCTCCTCTCCCTTCCTCCTCTCTCTCCCTCTCTCGGTTCTCTCCTCTCGGGCAGGCTAGCCGGCGGGTGGGGATGAGGTCGCCGACAACGGGCGCGAGGACGAGGGGGTCGGCGGCGACGGGGGTGACCGGGGTCGACGGCGTTGGATTCGGTGACGGCGGTGGCGGTGATGTTGAGGAGGTTGGAGATGGAGACGGCGGAGGCGTAGAGTGGTGGGGAGCAGCGGAACACGAGGTAGGCGTCGCAAGGCCCCGCGGCGGCGGCGGAGGTGACGTCGTACTCCTGCTGCGCTCGAGGCGGCGGCCGATGGCCCTCGCCTGCGCCGCGCCGCGACGGCGAGGAGGACGAGGAGGAGGACGAGCGCGAGCATGGCGCCGCCGCCTCGGATTCGCCGTAGCCTCTTCGCCATCGGCGAGGTCTGCGGCCGCTGCCACCACCACCACCACTAGGGATCGGGCTCCGCCGCCGCCGCCACCGCCGCCGCCGCCACCACTCAGCCGCGGCGAGGAGGACGAGCGTGAGCACGGCGCCGCCGCCGGCCACCGTCGATGGCGGAGAGGCTACGGCGAATCCGGATCTAGCCGCCTCCACCATGGGCGCCGGGTGCCCCAGCCGACGCCGTTTCGGGCGGCGGCGAGACGGAGGGGACGAGGAAGGTGTGGCGGCGACCGGAGTGCGGGGGAGGAGGAAGGTGTGGCGGTGACCGGCGCGCGGGGGAGGAGGAAGGTGTGGCGGCGGCCGGCGCGCGCGTTGGATGCGGACGCGCGTCGCTGTACCGGAACCGCCACGGCCCGCTCTCCACGAAGAACTCCTCGTCGGCAAGCTCGTCGTACCCCATCTCGTCAAAGATGTCGCCATCGGCGAGCTCTCCGGCTTTCCTCCATTGCGACACGAACCAGAGCACCCCTATGGCAACGAGCACGAGAAGCAAGCTGTAGAGTCCCAACACCACCCACACGTCCTTGGGGTCGATGCTGGTGGTGAACTCCAAGTACTACACTTGCTGCAGCTCGGCGGCCTCGCCCGTAACGGCGAAGAAGCCGACGGCGACGGCATTGGGGAGGTACTCCATCAGATCGACGGCGTACCAGAGCACGGGATCTGTTGGGCCGCCGCCGCGTCGCCGTAGGAGAGCGCGACGGTGAGGTTCTTGGCCTCGCCGTCGTACGCGACGCGCCGGTGCGCCCTCCAGCTGTCCTTCATGCTGGTGGGACAGTCGACGGTGGCAGAGAAGGGAGAGAGATGAGGAAGAGAGAGAAGAGGGGAAAAGAGAGAGGAGGCTGATGTGGCCACGCTGACATGTGGGGTCCACGTGGGTTCCACGCTGACTCAACTGCCACGTAGGATAAAACCGGAGTCAAAAACACCAAAGGACCTATCGTGACCGGTTTCGATTAGTTAAGGGACGTTGGATATCTGGTTTTGTGGTTATAGGACGATTTTGTAACTCGATGACAAGTCGAGGGACCTTCGGTGTACTTTTTCCTTCCATAATTTCTCAAGTCCCAATTCAAGATCTTTGCCACGGATGCATTAAACCTAATTTTCAAAGCAGTATAAATGTAATTTCCATATCCCTTTCTTCATGTCGTTTGTCCGACCTCCATTGCTAGCTGCTCTGTTCCTTCTATTTCTCTTCTTCCCAATGCCAATCTTCTCTCTTACCACCTTCATCTCATTATATGTGCATTTTTAGCACTTGAAAGAAAAATTATTAGGGAAGAAAAAAAATGTAAATGCTCCTTACTAAATTAGGAGTTGGTTGGAACTAGGAGGCAGTAGTATATTACAAGATGTTTTATAATCGAGGAGGAACTAGTAATAATCTAAATGAAAGTAATAATCTAAATGAAAGGTACTATCTTCGTTTTGTAATTTTTTATATTACAAGATGTTTTGGATTTTTTTTAAATTTCTATTAAGTTTGTTCAATTTTATAAAAAAATATAGCATCTAAAACACCAAATTAGTCTCATTAAATCTAACATCGGATAAATTTTGGTAGCATGTTTATTTTGTTTATTTTGTGTTAAAAATATTACTATTTTTTATAAACTTAGTCAAACTTAAAAATAGTTTAACTTGATAAAAAGTCAAAACATCTTATTGTTTGAAATGGAAGAATTGAATGGACAACTACAACTCTAGAAATATACACTTTATGGAACAAATTTGAATTTCAAAAATACCCTTATTGTAGGATGGAGGTTGTAGTATTCTTTAGCGAGGTTAACTAAAGCAAGGCCATGATAGTAATCAATAAAACTGCCACGCGCGAGGCATCAACTTATAATAATCGGCACTGTCCTTATTTGCTTAAAATCTTGCGCATCTATATATTAGCAAGAAATTTTCATCAAAAATATATTAGCAAGAAAAAAAACGAGATTTTATGACCGTGACTTGCTGATCATGAGGGGTAAGGAGGATACATCAAACTGACAAAATTAGGTGGGTCACACCATGAGATATTAATGATGAGGGAGTGTCTATTGAACTGAAAATGATGAGGGTTTCAAAGAACATCAACAAAATTGCAGAAATACCATACCTGTTTATCCATAAACCAACCCAATTAGCATCATCAAAAGTTTTCAATCCACTAATATTCTCTCACACACGAACACTACCAATAATTCAGAGACACAGAGACCAAGCAATGATTGAGCTCATGACAACACCCACCAAAATTTAACAACACAAATCCCAGAAGAGCAAATCACGTATGGATGGAGATACGCACCCAAAAAATGTTCTTTTTTCCTTTGCTGCTGCAATCAACATAGGCTAATGATGTAGATTGAGAAAAAAATTGAGGACAACCGAGGCCAATGATGCAGAATAAGGTGGCAGAGAACAAGGCGGCAGTGAACGGCTCCCAGGTTCACAATGTGGTGCTGGTGTGGCAGCACTAGCGGATAGGGTTCTACATACGGCGGTGCGTGGCTACGTGCGTTCATGGAGTCGAGGCGTTGAGTAGTTGTACTTCGATCAGCCTCAATGCACTCAAGGGCCTAGCCCAACTCAACGACCTAGCGCGTGGCTCAATGCTCCCGTCGGGACCCGGGAGGGGAGGGGATGGGGTATGGGCTGGTAGCAAGCTGGGCCAGCCGGCCCACCCTACCGTATGGGGCCATCCGCCTCTAAAACTAACTAGGAAAGACAACTAGATTCCTGAAAACAACAAGGGAAAAGGAGAAAGAGTTTGTGTCTAAGCACCGAGAAAAACTCCTAGGGGACTATGCATCGCCGTAACCCACACAAAGCTTTCCTTCTTGCACAATACAATCAACCATTGTCTCTACTGTGGAAAGTATCCCCTCAAAGACGCGAGTGTTCCTTTCCAGCCACAGGTGCCAGGTAATCAAAAGGATGAGGGAATCGAACCCCTTCCTATTATGATCCAGTAGCCGCTGGCGAGAAGACTCCACCAAATATGAAGCAAATATTGTCGGCAGGGTGAGAGGGAGGTCAACTCAATCTTAGGTAGCAACTTGAGCCAAACTTGTCACATGAAGACACACTCTACCAAGATACAATGAGTCGTTTCCAGCTCCTACGCACACATAGGACACATGGTATGACTGTCCATCCCTCGGTTGTGCATTTTATCAGCCGTCCAACTCTGTAACTAAAGTGCAAGCCCGAGAAAAAAGCTTACACTTTGCGGGACAAGCGTTGCGCCAAAGGAAGGAAGGAGATCAATCCCTCAAAGAACGCGTTGTAGGTCGAGGCAATGTTGTACCCATCATCCATCCAACGCTAGATGAACTCATTTTGGATAGAGTCAGGAAGTTCTATACTCTATTTCATAGCGTAAGGAATTGGGAGAGCATGCACACAGTCAGGGCGCTGGTGATGTCATATATCCTAGTATTGCCGGCTAGGCCAGCAACAACCGAAGTGGAGTCTTGACGACGCACAGGGACGACAAGGAACAGATCTGGGGCGATCAGTTGAATCAACTGTCTGTCGATCCAGTTGTCCAACCAGAACAACGAGCGACATCCATCTCCGATGACGACCATGACAGATTGACTGACGCATGGAAAATCTCCGACACACACTGCACTTGTGGTAGGTTAATGTTGGCCTAGCAGGGGTCTCTAATGCGCTGGAGCCAAGTCCATCGCATTGCATTTGCAGGACCCATCCTATGATCCGTAGGTTCATGATTTCCAGGGCCCCGAGCTACTTGATCTAATACATCTTGGGTTAAGCGACAAGGCAACTCCTACCATAGACTGAGTCCAATCCATTCCAAAGGAAGGATTCCTGCCATTTGTCAACGGTTTTCAAGACCCATTCGGCAACCCGATGGCAAGGGAGAGGTGCACCGGGATGGAGGAGAGGACGGACTTGGCCATATGGCCCGAGGCCCAACGGCCCGACCCAAGGAACGGCCATTTGGCCCGGCCCAAGCATGACATGGCCCAACAGTGGGCTGTGCCGGGGCCGATGCCTTGACACAGTCGGCCGGCCGGCATGGCATGATCAAAGAAAATAGTAGTGGGATCCAAAATAGACTTAATCAACCATATAAGGCAAGGCCCAAAGAGAAGAGGAATACAAAATAGACATATTTCTAGCCATACAAGACACCCCAAAGAGTTGAGGGATGAAAAAGTAGACTTATTCTATGGAGAAGCACAATATACTGTCATTCCTTCGGGCTGGCCCAGCACGACCCGAATCTTATTGGGCCGTGTGTGCAGCCCGTTGGTTGGCACAGCACGACCCGACATGTAGGTCGGGTCAGGGGGCCAATTTGGCCACCTATAAACGGACTGCACCAACGGCTATTTGCAACTCGCAACTTGAAACCTTGAAACTTGAAAGCAAGTAAGCTAGTACAGCAGTGCACAATCACGTACGTCCCACTCATCAACACACACTGACCCACAGATTCATAAGGAGTAGAGTTGAACGGGAAGCCTAGGCTCGACGACCACCTGGAGCGGGTACTTGCGCGTGGTCGACAGCCCAAACACCTCGTCCATGCTCAGCTCCTCCTCCTTCATCCCCTCCGGCAACCTCCACGCGAACCCGTGCAGCAGGTTGGCCAAGCTCAGCTGCATCACCTTGAGCCCGAGGTTGTAGCCGGGGCACATGCGCCGCCCGGACCCGAACGGCAGCAGCTCGAAGTCCTGCCCCTTCACGTCGATCCTGCTCCCGATGAACCTCTCCGGCATAAACTCCTCCGCCGCGTCCCACAGCTCCGGGTCCCGGCCGATGGTCCACACGTTGATGAGCACGCGCGCGCCCTTGGGGATGTCGTAGCCCGCGACGGCGGCGTCGTCGCGGGCGACGCGCGGGATGAGGAGCGGCACGATGGGGTGCATCCGCATGGTCTCTTTCATGATGGCGTCTAGGTAGGGGAGGTTCGGGATGTCCTTCTCCGTGACCCAGCGGCAGCGGCCGACGACGCGGTCGAGCTCGTCGGTGGCCGTGGCGAAGATGGCGGGGTTTTTGAAGAGCTCCGAGAGCGCCCACTCCACAGTCACCGACGAGCTCTCCGTGCCCCCGGCGATGAGGTCCTGCGTGAACGCCTTGACGCCGACGCGGCCGAGCTTGATCTCGAGGGAGGGGTCGTCGGCGAGGTCCATGAGCACGTCCACCATGTCCCTCGCCACGAACGCCTCGCCCTCGCGCCGCCGCCGCTCGCTGTGCTCGTCGAGGACGTGCTCCATGAACGCGTCGAACATCTTGCCCACCTTCTTCATCCGCCGCACGTACCCCTGCAGGTCCATCCAGTCCACCCACGGGATCCAGTCGCCGACGTTGAGGACGCCGTTGAGCAGGAGGAGCTCGTCCAGCATCCACTTGAACTCCGACAGCGTCGACACGGGCCCCTCCGCCGCGTCCGCGCCCTCGCCGAAGAACCGCTTCCCGAGCACCATCCGCGTGATCACGTTCATGCTCAGCGTGGACAGGTGATCCCTGTTGAGGTGCACGGCGCCGCTGCGTCCCGACGACGCCGCGGCGAAGAGGCCGCGCACCAGCGCGCGCACCTCGTCGGCGCGGATGTGCTCGAACGACGCGACGCGGCGGGCGCTGAACAGCTCGGTGACGCAGATCCGCCGCGCCTGGCGCCAGTACGCGCCGTACGGCGACCACGTGATGTCGGCGTAGCCGTAGGTGGTGTGCTTCCTGGACGCCGTCCTGGGGCGGTCGATGAACACCGCGTCGTGGGTCTTGAGGACGAGCCTGGCCATGGCGACCGACGAGCCGACGACGACGGGGAAGGAGCCGAAGCGGAGGAGCATGAGCTCGCCGTACTTCCTGGAGAGCTCATGGATGGAGCGGTGCGGCAGCGCGCCGATGAGGTTGAAGTTGCCGATGACGGGCCACGGCGTCGGACCCGGCGGCAGGTTGTAGCCACGGCGGCTGCCCTTGCGTTTGATCAGCCCGAGTAGCAGGAAGGCGGCGAGCGCCATGGATAGCAAGGTGGCCAATGCTGATGGCTCCATGGGCAATGGGAGAGGATTTATTGGGTTTGGGTTGGAGATGCGATGCAATGCAAGCGAGTGACGCTACGTATTTGTAGGAGATTAGGAGTGAGCTACTACTGGTAATCGATCGTACAACAGTGTAGTGGACGGGGACGGTTCAGTAATTGTACTTTGGTATGGTGGATGTGCATGTGTTAGTCTCAATTATGCTGCCAAGTCAGAGTCAATTTTCTAATTGAAAATTGATAGATTATGTTGATCGAGAAACTCTTTTTAGTCACTTGAGTTGGCATCCATTTTGTTATTTTTTTTATAACTTGGAGAAGTCGAATTTATACTTATATATTTATACAGTAATATATAATGATATGTTATATATTGATATGTCGTATCAATCTTTTAGAAAAGAATCATAATAATTTAGTTGCCTAGTAAATGAGGGGATGTTTACTCGGGTGATCTATTATAATCCCTTTGCTAGTTCTAGTAGCTCATTATCAAACGAAAACAGTTCTAATAACTTCAAACAGTTGCAGTCAAACTCGTGAAATCTTAGGTCAATCAACTTTCACTTGAGGAGACTCTAAAGCATCTTATCACAAAAAGTATCAACAATACAGATTGGAAACATTTGCTTCGAGACACTACAACAGAAATACCCTTTGGGAGACATAAAAACCTTCAAGAAAAGATTTTAAAAAAAAGGAAAACTCATTTTTCTTTTTGTCACACAATCTTATGTAGGACCCCTTTAAATATTAGAAATAAAAAAGGAGGAATAAAAAAAATATAGGATTCTGACATAAATGCAATTATAAAACATAGGATTAAACATAGAAAAAAACACAAGAATAGTCATTTGATTAGACCGCAGAAAAAACACAAAAATTTTAAGAGAGATAAAGACTCAAAAGAAACGTCCCATGAGGTTCTAACCCATATTAAATTTCTTATAAAACTTGCATGGAGTGAGACATTTCATAGGATTTATTCCTTTGATTCAAATGATTATATAGGAAAAATATTTTTTTATAGAAATAAAATCCTCCAAAATTTGTATGATTTTTCTTTGAATCAAAGGGAGCCGTAAATTAGAAGTTTACAATAAAACAAGAAAATGAATAAAAACTTAGATATTAAAAAATTCATTGTAACCAATTGAAATGAAAACGAAAGACAATGAATAAGTATGGTTTCTCTTACCGCGCGGTTACCATGGTAATTGTGCCCATCACCAGGTACGGAAATAAATTCACTCGGTGGATCGATCCAGTTCAAAGAAAATATAATTTTTGACAAAATTTATTTGGTTTTCACATGTGTTTGTGGGAACTGTCATCATTTGATATCGTCGAGAGGTGGAGGTACTACCTTCATCCCAAAATATAGTAACTTTTGGCTATGAATTTAGAAACACAGTTGTTCAAATTTATAACTAAAAATCCTTATATTTTAGTACAGAAAGAGGAAAGAGTAGTAACTACTACTGAATGGTCTTTCACTCTTTCTTTTCATACTTCGTGAGCTCACAAATCATTAAAAGGAAAGGGGAAACGATCAATCATATCGACCATATATGCGACAGTCAAGTACTCTCTCGGTAAGATCAAAATTTTAAAAAAATAAGTACTCCCCTCCGGTCATGTGTGTTTTAGTGTATATATGACGTTGGGAGTATTAATGATCTTTGTGATTTGTAACCAGACTCTTAACACTGTTGCTTTGCTTATATGAAGCTGATGTGTATGTAATGTGCGCTCAGCCGCTCATGGTTGCGGATCGCTTGATCGTCACAACCTGCTGGCGGCTGAACGCAAACCTTCGCAAATTTCAATAGAAGAACAGCCAAGTGGAGTTGGTGCTAGCTAGCTTGCGTCTTCGCCGGGCTGCCTAAGAAAGACTTCCACATGACATCGTCATTTCTTATTTTTCCTACGCTGGGAGTGAACATGATACGTATCTACGGAAAATTCATACGCGACGCAGAGCATCATACAGTTCGTAAGCAGAGGTCCCTGTGCGGTTAGCTGTGCAAGTTCATATGCATGTATATAGCAGACTGATATACATAAATAAAGACACGACTCGACGATTCGCAAGTCTTGCAAGTTCTAAACAATCAAATGGTTGCTACCTAACACGCTGAACTGATCTATAGAGCCAAGTGCCCAATTGGATGCTCACTAGTAGAAGATTTATTATTCGTTGTGCTGCAAGTCATGCTGAGAATAATCTGATAATGGTTCACTGTTTTGAGTAGAGTTAACAAAGATCACTGGTTGGGTGAGAAGTCCGTATTGAAAGTTCACCCCTGCTGTCCTTTGTGTTGTGTGCCTGTTCTTAGAAAAATAAACTTTTTTTAAACTTAAGTATACTCCTTCCGTCCCGAAAAAAACAAATCTAGTACTGGATGTGATATATTATAGTACAATGAATTTGGATATAGGTATGTTCAGATTCGTATTACTAGGATGTGTCACATTCAGTATTAGATTGGTTTTTTATGGGACGGGAGGATTACTAATCTACAGATCCTTTTTCTATAAGCGTAGAGTAGTTGGGGCTCTCTCAAACTACATATATAAGATATAAGCCCAAGATCATATTGAAGGAATTTTTATGAGATCATAATTATATCACCTATTTTATCTCTTTGAGGTTGTGTTAAAAAACCGTTTGTGTGAGCGGTTCATAACCCGTTACACGAGCGCTTTTCAATCCGCATGTAGCTAAGGGCCTATGAAAATCGACCATTTATATAGGCTCAAAATCAGCCGCCAAGAAACATTTTCACAGGTGGTCTTTTGGAGCCGCCTATGAAAATGATTTTTTTTTATTTTTTAGGCTAAAAGAACTTGAAAAAGTCTATCTTTTATTTTATGTAATCGATCCTCTTTCATGTAATTAGGCAAAAGATGCAAGCTCGAGATGTAACTAAAGTTCGCATGGGCCTTCAGCTCCTGAACACAAATGGGCTATTGGACCGTCTCCTATTACCCATCCAACATTGGAATTTTTTTATTAAAATATTTATGAAACTAATTTTGTGTTTCAAAAATTTACAAAAGTAGTCGCCCACCGCCCTCCCAGAGGGCGATTTTAATAACGTGGCAGACGGCTATCGCCTCACAAGTAACGGCCGGCAAAGGGGGCCTGCTATTTTGCAGGCAGCCCCCATATCGCCCTTAGGGAGGGCGGTTTAACACTGTGCCGGGGGGGGCTGCAAAAGGACGGTGAGGACGGCCTAGCTTTTTTGCAAGCGGTCCCCTTCCCGCCCTTAGGGAGGGCGGTTTAACACTGTGCGGGGTGCTGCCTGCAAAAGGGCAGCGATAGCGACCTGGCTTTTTTTTAACAGGCGGCCCTCTTGCCGCCCTTAAGGAGGGCGGTTTAACACTGTGCGGGGGGGCGGCCTGCAAAAGGGCAGCCTCCTTGCCGCTCTATGATTTTCCTTTATATTCACTCAAAATCCGAAAAAAAAGAAAGAGGGAGGGGTGAGGGGGAGGAGAAGGGGAGCGGCCCCGCACAGTGTTAAACCGTCCTCCCTAAGTGCGGCAAGGGGGTCGCCTGCAAAATGGCAGCCCCCTATAGCCGGCCGTTAGGCATGAGCCAATGGCCATCTGCCACGTCACGAAAATCGCTCTTTGGGAGGGCGATTTTTATCGCCCTTCCAAAGGGCGACGGGCGACTAGTTGTAAAATTTTGAAACACAAAATTAGTTTTACAAATATTTTAATAAAAAATTAAAAAAAATCTCCAACATTCCAGGCTTCCAGCCTTTCAACACAAAACATAAACCCAACACCATGCGTTTGCTTTTTTGTCAATAATTAGCTATAGCTCTTGAGCAAAGGTTGGGATGTTCCATTCCATTATCTAAAAATGTGTCAGCCACGCAATCCATTAGGTTGTGCTTAAACGGAATAAGTCTATTCTACCTCATTTACCTCTTACTTCTGGTTGAATCACCTCTCTCAATCGTAAAACTGGTTAAAACGCCTCCCCATCTTCGAAAACTGGTGTAAATCGACTCAGTCAGTGGTTTGGAATTAAAGCGGTTTCTACTGGTAGGTTTGTAAATTGCTACATCAACATAAACATGTTCTCAAACGACTAAAGGAGTCGATTTATACCGATTTTCGAAGATGGGGGAGATGTTATACCCGGTTTTGCGGTTGAGGGAGACGATTCAATCAGAAGCGGGAATTGGGAGGCATGATAGACTTATTGCTGCTTCAATTCACCAGAGCCGAGGTGCGTCAGCCCAACAAGGAAATTATCATCGATGAGAAGCCCACCCACCACCCAACCCCTGGGCTGGCCCTGGCCTATCAGAGGGACGGCAGCAGCGGAGCAGAGCCGCCAGACCGATGCACGCTCGCACGCACGCGCGCGTTGAAAACCATCGGTCTTCCCTTGCATCGCACGCACGGGTGCGCCCGCCCGCGACGAGCATTGGCATCCGAGGAGCATGGCACGCCGCACGCGGGGCCGCGCTGCCGTCAATCGGAACTCGTGACTTGGCGACGAGCATTGGCACCGCTCGGCAGGAGCGCGCGGGGGACCGACGCGGCGATGCCCACAGACGCACCGCACACGACACGCGCAGGCAGGCAGAGCCCCCCCCCCCCCCCCCCCCTGGTCACGTGGCGCTGCTGCCGCTTTTGCGCAATTTTTGTGCCTGTGCTGTGCCGTGCCGCTCCCACAAGTCAGAAGGGCCGCAGGATGCCCAATCGCCGCGCGGCAGATCGAGGGATACTACTACTACTATACACTGTACTACTCATACTGGAGTGGTGGTAGACGGGGGAAAGGTGGCGCACTGGCGCCGCGGCGGTGGTGGTAAAGCTGGCTGAAACTGAAGTCAAGTACGACGCTGCTGCTGCCGTGCTGCGCGTGCGGCTCCGACCACCGTCGGAAAATCTTGGCCCGTTTTGGGGGAGGCAGGCAGCTGGTGGTGCAACTGATTACAAAAGGAAAAAAATTATGAATTACCCTCCGAACTATTACTCTCCGAACAGCAAAATCGGATATTCTTCACCCCCAACTATACAAACCGGATGAATTACCCCCCTCGACCTAATCAGTGGTGGTTTTAGTCTACGTGGCGTACGCGTGGCAGTCCAGTCAGCATTCTATTTATAAAAAAATTATGGGACCCACCTGTCATACACTACTCTATCTCTCTTCCTCTTCCTCTTCCTCTTCTCTCGGCGAGGGGCGGCTAGGCGCCGGTCTCCGGCGGGATCAAGGTCACGGCGGCAGTCTGGTATCGAGGAGAGGTCCCTGTAGCTAGCGGCGGGCGCCCATCGTCGGCGCGGGATCTAGGTGGACGGGAGGCAGCAGCCACGGAGGAGCTGTCCGGCGGTGGAGGTGGCGGCGTCATCGAAGCGGCGCGACAGAGGGGGCTCAACGACGCCGGCCGTGCACCTCGTCGCGGTGAAGAGGCGGCCGTTTCCCTTGGCGGCGGTGGCGGCAAAGAATTCCCCCGAGCGGCGTGACAGAGAGGGCCTGACGACGGAGATCCATGCGCCGACAGTTGCCGACGATCGCTGCTGTCCTTAACGCCCGGAGCAGCCTCCGCCACCGCCCGCCGCCATCCTTCCAGATGCGCCAAGCTCCGTCTGCCCCCGCCGCCCTCGTCCTCCCCGCGCACACGCCACCGAGAGGGAGGGGGGAAGCCGCGGCGAGCTCCGTCCGCCCGCACGCCGCTGAGAGGGAGGGGGGAGGGGGAAGCCGCGTCCTCGTCCTCCCCGCGCGCATGCCACTGAGCCGAGCGGCCGCCTCCTCATCCCCCGCCGCCGCCGCCGCCAGTGCTCCGTGTCCCCTGCCGCCGCTGACCCGTGAGATGGTGAGAGAGAGAGGAAGAGTGAGAGAGAGTGTGTGTGTGAGAGAGAGAAGAGAGAGTAGTGTATGACAGGTAGGTCCCACATTTTTTTTTCATAAATAGAATGCTGACTGGATTGCCATGTGTACGCCACATAGACCAAAACCACCGCGGATTGGGTCGAGGGGGGTAATTCGTTCGGTTTGCAAAGTTGGGGGTGAAAAATATCCGGTTCTATGGTTAGGGGGTAATTCGGTCGACCGCGATAGTTCGGGGGGGGGGGTAATTCGTACTTTTTCCTTACAGAAGTTGTAGCCGTGCATCGATGCTTCCTAGTAAAGGTAGAATTAAAAGAAGACCACGACGACTTGATTTTCCTCTGCCCAAACTCCAAATAGCCCTCGATGATCCCTGGACTTACGACAAACATATGAATTTTTGAAGGATTCCAATTCTATAGTGAAAATTTTCTATGAAGCCCTTTGAAACAAATGATTGAATCATATGCTATCCTTTAAAATTCCTATGGAATGGACAATTCTATAGAGATTTTGGAGGAAATTTAGCAAGAACTCTAACATCTTGGAAACTTTCATTTGAATCTCTCTCTCATCCGATTCCTGTGTTTTTCGTGCGGTTCAATCAAACGGTCATCCCTGTGTTTTTTCTACGTTTTGCAGTACTCTGTTTTGCACTTGCATTCATATTAGAATCCTATGTTTTCCTATTCCTCCGTTTTTTCATTCCTATGATTCAAAGGGCCCTAAGTGGGTGGGCTCACTTAGTGGCGTTCCAATTGTTGAGTGGCGTTCCAATTGTTGAACAAGCACAATTGACAACGATCGAAGACTATCCATGGTATTTGATGTGATATGGATCCTCTGACCTACTTAAGCTAAGACAGATGTGTGCAATACCATCTTATACACTGTTCGTTTCAATCTACAAAGAAATCCTAACTATCCCTGAACTATTACAGCAATTCAAATAATCCTTTCAAACTACAAAACTAAACATCTTGAACCCTAAGCTCTTCAACCCGAATGAATTATCCCTTTGGCCCAATCCGGAGCGGTGTTGGTCCTACATGTCACACGTTTAGCAGAATTTTGGTTGACATGGCAATCATATCAACGAAAAATATAAAAAATGGTAGGGCCCACCGGTCAGTATTGCCCTCTTCCTCTCCTCTCCATCGCTCGTAGTCTTTCTTCTTCGGTCATCCCATCTATGATCCCTTCCTCAGGCTACCACCGCTCAGGAGAATGGTCTCCTCGTCAAGGTCAAGCGCAACCATCGTCGCTGCCTCCAGCTCGCCCCTACCTGTGCAACTCTGGGCCACCCATTTTTGCGACTGCCAGACCACTGTTTCATAGCCCTCTACGTTGTTGCCAGCTTCGTCAACGGTTGGCCTCGTCTTCCTTTGACATTCGTGCTCAAGGCTATTAAGCCTCTCACAGTGCAAGTTATGGGGCCCGTAGCTCTAGCAAAAAAAGTTGGCCTAAAGACACCCACCCCACAGTGCAAGCACCCATACTATGTGTGGCTTAATTGGATGGAGCCACAGGTGAAGAAAACCGGACCCACAGTGCAGCATTACCCAAGCGTGTGGACACGGGGTACGGGACGAAATTTATTCCCCACCTACCCCTAACGACTTTCTCTTCCTCTACTCCATCGCCATCGCCTTCTTCTCCTCCCGCGCCGCTTCGCTTCTCCTCCCGTGCCACCGCTCCGCTTCTCCCTTGCGCCTCCTTCCCCTCCCTCTAGTGGCCGAGGCGGATCCGGCGACCGCGCCGGGGACGCCGCCGCCGTGCGCCTCGCCGTCGACCGCGCCGCTCGCTTCTCCTCCCGCGCGGACTCGGGAACGGTGGGAGCGGCGGGAGTGGACGATGCGGCGCCGACGGGCGGCCGGAGGCGGGAGCAGACGAGCGGCCGGCGGCGGGCGATAGACGAGCGGTACTACCACCTAGATCTTTGTCGGCGCCTCTGTCACCTCTATTCGGACCATCCTACGGCGTATGGCATCGTTGGATCTCCTCAATTGATGTTAGGAGGATGGTAACTATAATTTTTGAATCTTAGTAATGTATCGTGGGCCTCACATGTCTAAATGACTTAAAATTTGAACAAAGTTGCTTCTCCATATAATAAATCATCTCTATAAAATTCAATTAAATTTGATAAGGCTTTATAATGTGAACGCGAGTTTAAAAATTTTGGACCCGAGTTTTACATGCATGCAATAAGAGTTTTTTTTTATCTATTAGGAGCGTAGATGATCCATTTTGATATCCATGGATAACCTATTTATATAATAGACTCATGATGGATTGACCCTATTAAACCATGGTTCAATAAACTCATTTGAAACGTTTTAGGCTAGATCCATATCCTAACCATTCCCATTCTGTCCCGAGAACATCTTGTGCGTGCCTTGGCTTCTCTCGTTGCCACTGATTTCGTCCTACTTGGTGCCTCAACTGTCACGGCCTTATTCTCACTTCACCTCATACCCATAGAGAATTAAGGGAAGAAAGGAAATAAAGCATCAACACTTGGATTGAAACGGGTGATGAGTGAGCGGGTATTGTATGGCTTTGACTTAGATTATAGAAGTCAGAGCCTCAGAGGATCCGTGTTCCTTGGAAGCCAAAACACTGGTTGCCTAATTAGTCATGAACTTGTCGGCACACAAATCCCACTAACCTTTGCTAGCATCAGTAGTATCATTCCGTGTCACTGTTGATGAATAAGTTCACACAATGTTCTGCTTCAACCTTCTTTCTTCATCGTCTCCGATGATTTTTCCTACTAACCATCCTTAATACCATTAACATCCAATTGTATTACCAAATCTAGATTGATTTTTTAGCTCTAACAACTCTCGTACATATTGGCTTTCCCTAGCCTAGAAACAACACCATCTTATGCGGGCTTCCCTCAAAGTATCAAACAATGTGAATGATAAAGAGTAGATACAATAGCAGACTATAAACCAGCTACAAACATATTTCGAGGAGATAAAAGATGAGAGATAAGAGCAGCGGGCTACAGATTTGTATGCAGCTGTAGCATGGACTCCAAGATGCATGTGTGTATGACATGTGGGACCAGATATTAATTGCGTGGTATATATTTATATGTAACTATTGTATGAATTGGCTATTAAGTTGATTATAGATGATTTGGAGACAGCAGTTAGCTATACTATTAAACTTGCTCTAATATGAATTCAAACACAAATCCCAAAAAGAGGGTGATATTCGTAGAACTCTTGAAGTAGTTGATGATTAAGGTTGTGTTCGTTGGGTGTGTTGGGAACGTTTTCCTCCTACACAGAAAACGGAGCAGTTCATCAGCACATGATTAATTAAGTATTAACAAAATAAACTTGAAAAATGGATTAATATGGTATTTTAAATCATTTTTTTTCAAAACACACGTCTTTTAGCCGTTTAAAAAACACGTACACTGTAAATGAGTGGGGTGGAGTTGGGAAAAAAAAAGAACACAGCCTAACAATCCTTATAAAAAGTATTAAAGAATAAACACATAACATACCGGACAGAAAGGACCTGAGTGAAAAATAAAAAGGAACTTAGAGCAGTGATGAATCAATCGGTGAAAAAGCCGCTACGGCTGGATCAATCGTCGTTCCGTCCCCGTCCTACTACTTTCCCTTCCCCCTATAGCTGACGCCGTGACGCGTCCGCCCGGGCGGGGGCCACCCGTCTGCGATTCTGCGTAGCGATGATGACACGACTGAACATTGTCTCGTACGACTGCCAACCGCGACACGGCCGCACATCCCATCTCCCCCCGCACCCGCACCCCCGCGCCCCCGCGCACGCAGAAAAACCCACGCCCACCGCGCGCCCGCGAGAGAGTCTGCGGCGCCCAACCCCGAGCCACACACACCACCACACCAGAGCAGAGCAGAGTGGGCGTACGCAACAACGTGCACTCGCAGCGCCTCGCCTTCCGCGTCCTCCTCCCGTGCGCGCGCGCGCGATGCGCCACTGCGCCAGCATTTAAACCCCCAACCCAACGCCGCGCGCGTCGCCACCACCATCCACACCATTCGCCGAGCCGACGCCCCCGCCCCCGCCCCCTGCCGGTGGCGAGCGTGCGTACGTACGTACGTACGTACGTGGCCCTGCAGCCGAGCTCACCGTAGCGCGGGCCGTCGGTCGCCGCTCTCCTCGCCCACCTTAGCTACGCAGCTGTAGCCTGCAGGGTAGCTAGCTCTCTCGCTCGCTCGCTCGCGGCGCTGAGGGTGGTTGTCTTGCGTCTCCGGTGGATAAGTTGGGTTGAGATGGGGGAGGCGCCGAGGCCCAAGTCGCCGCCGAGGTACCCGGACCTGTGCGGCCGGCGGCGGCTGCAGCTGGAGATGCAGATCCTCAACCGGGAGGTCGGCTTCCTCGAGGTGACCTCACTTCACTTCCCCGTCATGTCACCTCGCTTTCTTTCACAGTGATGAAGAAAAGCGTGCATTTTTTTTTGTTCTTCCTATGGAGTGGAGAGACAGAGAGAGAGAGAGAGAGAGAGAGAGGAAATCTCCGGGGAAAAAAGTTGATGTGGAGAGCTCATCGGTTTGGGGTTTCGCGACGGAAGCGAGGCGAGAGCTCGCTCTGTCGCGACAACCGATGCGCGACAGGCTCCCATGTTGTACTAGCAGTACGTGCGGCTGTCATGGCTGCCCCTACTGCCGTCTTCTTGCAGAGAGAACAAGAACAATGGGCAGCCATGAACCAATGCCATTTTACTTCTGGAGTAGTAGTAGTAGTAGAGTTCTACTGCAATATGTATTTTTTCCCCCTGCAACATCAGGCATTTCAGAATTGCAAAGCAAGTGCAGTATAGGAGTAGTACTTCCGAAGTCTCCTCATTACATTGCATCATGCGTAAAGTCTGATGAATTCTGGAACTATAGGGGTATGGGGGAGTACCTGCAATTGATAATTAAAAATAAAAAGAACTCTACTTTCAGATTTCTGCTTCTCTTGAGCGTGACATCACCTGGCAATGGCAATCAGTAGGTAGAGACGCTGCTGCTGCTGCTGCGCATTGCTCGTGTTCTTTACTGCTTCCATTCATGGCACATGGAGCAGGACTGTGTATAGGTCTGTGGAAGCCATGTGCATGTGCCTCGGCCTGACTGGGGGCTCCCTTTTTGCAGCAAGAGCTACAGGGACTTGAACGGATTCAGCCGGTCTCGAGGTGTTGCAAAGAGTATGCGCCCTATCCTCTCCTTTCTGCTTTCCTCATTAGCCTCGCTTCTCTCTGCAAATCTTGTCGCCGGCAGTGCTGGTGTTTCGCTCGGATGGGCAACTAGCAAGTTCTTGTTCATTCTAGTGATCTAGTCTCAGCCTTTCAGGCTCAAATGCCATTTAATCACAGCTACTCTGAATGTCAGTAGTGTTTGAGTCATTAGTGTTGTTGTTTCTTTGATTTGTAGTGGTCTTATTGATAAACAAGACAATTCTTTTTCCGAGGAGAGCACTAAAAATTAGAATTTTTTCCATTGTGTTCTTTTTATTTGCTGAATCCTGACACATTCCTCAAACTTATTTTTTTTTTGAAAAAAAAGAAAGTGGCCCACATGAATTGCGACATTTACTATACTTTTCGATTTTCTTGAATGCCAATAATAATCTCTGCTAGTAACTTCTGACCTGGTGGTCCAACAGTCAACATGTGAACTGTTCATGCATGACCTACATTTCAATTTTGCTCCTTTTGGAACTGTACTATGTAACGTTCAAATGCCATTGTCGATTACAAAGATACTAATGCTATATTATCACATTTGGCAGTGTCAACGAATTTGTTGGTGCAAAGTCGGATCCGCTTATACCAATGTATGAATATATTGATTTATGTTTTGCATTTCAGAGTTTCTTTTTTCAAAGTTTGCTGATCAGTGTTCTCCCTGTGCCTTATTTATTCCAGAAACAAAAGGAAACACAGATCTTGCAGCCTCTATCGGTGGATCAGGTCCCTTACTCTTCCCTTGTCCATGCTTTTGGGTGTACGGATAAAAACATTCTAAAAGCTTTGCTGTTTAAACCGAGGGAATATATTGTTGTTTATAATTTGAGAGTTTATTAAATTCAAGCCATTAGTGAATAAGTAGGTAACACTCATAGGGCAAAGTATGACAATATGCTGGTTTCAGTTTGTTGCTGAATAAACTAGTTCAACAGTCAACACTGTTAAGACTCATACTCCTACTTGTTTCTGTTCCTGTCAAATGCCCGAACTGAATTTCACCTTATTAGCCCATTTTATCAAATGCTCACTCAATTTGTAGAACCTCAATACACCAACAAAGTGATTTGTCAGAAATGTCACACTTTAATACTACATGATAACTCGGAGTACTGCCTTCTTTTGATGAAAAAAGTCAGGATATCTGACATCAGTTATGGTGGCATCAAAGCAATTTTCGCAGTCTTTTTGTGGAGCCAATACTGTTCCCAGAACTGCAGCGCTATTTACACGACAAATACCGCCTTTTTTTTCGTTCTGAACTTCTTGCAAATGACATGCTGTTTCAACGCTCCCTTGGAAAGACTAAAAGATCTTAAACCTGTTGTTTTTTATCAGATCGAAATTGTGCAACTGCTTGTTATGCCTCTGCTGTTGGTGCCGGTGCCTCCCAAAGCCCAAGAAACCGAGCTGCTTCAGTTGTTCTTGCTGCTCCTGCTGCGACACATCGTGCTGTAGACCGAGCTGCGGCTGCCTCAAGGCCCCTTCTTCGTGCTGCTGCAAATCCAACTGCAGCTGCTGCAGCAGCGATTGCTGCACCTGCAGCCTTCCCAGCTGCGGCTGCACAGGCTGCGGCCACTGCCGACCGTTGTGTGGCGGCGGCGGCGGCTGCTGTCCGCCCAGCGACTGCTGCTCCAGCTGCAAGTGCTCGTGCTCGTCCTGCACGCGGTGCTGTAGCAGCTGCGCCGGCGGCTGCAAGCCGAGCTGCAGCGGCTGCGGCACGGGGTGCTCGTCCTGCGGCGGCGGCTGCTGCCCCAAGTGCTCGTCCTGCGCGGCGCCGTGCGTCGGCTGCCTGGCTCTGCTCCGGCGGTGGCTGAGCTGCCGGTCGTCGTGCTGCAAGGGGCAGCCGTCCTGCTGCAAGTGCCAGTCGTCGTGCTGCGAGGGGGAGCCTTCCTGCTGCTGCTGCTGCGGCGGCGGGAAGGGATCGTCGGCGTGCTGCTGCGGCAGGCCTTGCTGCCTCGGAGGCGCGACGCCGGCGCCGTCGTGCCCCGAGTGCTCCTGCGGCTGCTCGTGCTCCTGCCCGAGGTGCAAAGATGGGTGCAGCCGCCCGTCGTGTGGCAATCCGTGCTGTGCCGGCGGATGCTTATGCTGAAGTAGATCGTTAAACTACAGTATGGTTTTGTACTATTCTTTTTGTGCTTGTTAGAACATTGGATTTGAGTAAAACTCATATGGTATATGCAAGGGCGAATCGAGAACGAAAATAACTCGTGTCCCAAACCCAAGGCATCATATACATACAAAAGTATGTCGTCAAGGGATCAGAATGCTCTGCAGTTGAAGTCATGCGTCACTGGCACGCGGTCTCACATGTCAGTGATAAAAGCACTCTGCATTTGATTGTAGAGGATCTCAATCCGTCATCAAGAAGTTGCTGCGAGTCGTATTTGACAAGTTCATCAACATCGCAACGACCATTGAGTTCTTTGTGAGATGGAGGAACTCAACGTAGATTGGATTAATCACGTAGTGCGTACATATATATGCCTGTCCATAACCACTCTACCGATTTATAGCAACAGAATCGGGAGGATAAGGATCTAGGCTTAGAGAGATAAAACTCAACCATGCATATCTAAACCATATTGTCTAACACCCCCCGCAGTCGCAACGTCGATGGAGCGAACGTTGAGACTGGAGCGAAACTCGATGAAGACAAGAGAGGGAAGACCTTTGGTGAAGATGTCCGCATACTGTGATGAAGTTGGAACATGCAACACCTGGACAACACCTAGAGCAACCTTGTCACGCACGAAGTGTAGATCGATCTTGACATGCTTCGTTCGTTGATGCTGTACTGGATTGGAGGAGAGATAAACTGCGCTCACATTATCACAATACACCAAGTTGGCTTTAGACGGCGGGGAATGCAGCTCATGGAGAAGTTGGCGCAACCAGCTGGCTTTGGCAACCGCATTTGCCACAGCGCGATACTCAGCTTCAGCACTCGAGCGAGAGACAGTGTTCTGGCGCTTGGATGACCATGACACAAGGTTGTCACCGAGAAAAACTGCATAACCGGATGTGGACTTGCGAGTGTTTGGACAGCCGGTCCAATCAGCGTCAGAATAGACAACAAGGTCAGTGGCCTGAGAACGCTGAATATGGAGACCAAGATCAATTGTACCTCGGACATATCGCAAAATCCTTTTGAGAGCGGTGAGATAGACCTCGCGAGGATCATGCATGTGTAAGCACACCTGCTGGACCGCATACGAAATATCTGGTCTGGTGAAAGTGAGGTACTGAAGTGCTCCTGCAAGACTGCGATAATCTGTAGGATCTGCCACTAGTGGACCGTTGGTCGAAGATAACTTGGCACATGTATCCACAGGAGTGGCGCACGGCTTGCAATCTGTCATGCCAGCACGCTCCAGGATATCAAGACTGTACTGCCGCTGATGCAAAAACAAGCCGGTGTCCCTGCGAGCGACGGTGACACCAAGGAAGTGATGAAGAGCACCAAGAGAGCACCAAGATCCTTCATGGAGAACTCGGACTGCAGGGATGAGATGGTCCACTGGAGGAGCTGAGCAGAGGAGGTAGTGAGCACGATGTCATCGATATAGAGAAGCAGGTATATTGTGCCAGAGTCGCGATGAAGGACAAACAGGGATGTGTCGGACTTGGCCTCAGTGAAGCCAATGGACAGCAAAAAAGTAGCAAATCTGCTGTACCATGCCCGAGGTGCCTGCTTGAGACCATAGAGCGATTTGTTCAGGCGGCAAACCATGTCAAGTCGTGTGGGGTCGACGAAGCCGGGAGGCTGAATGCAGTAGACTGTCTCCTGGAGGGTGCCATGAAGGAAAGCATTCTTGACATCAAGCTGGTGTATTGGCCAATCGTGAGAGACTGCTAGGCTAAGTACAGTGCGGACGGTGGCCGGTTTGACAACCGGACTAAACGTCTCATCAAAGTCGATGCTGTCACGCCCGGAAATTCACTAGTAATTTCCGAACTTATTTGTGCATAAAATCCTTGTCCAGGAATTAGCCGAGGTACACAAACTGACAATTTAATATACAGATTCATCAAATTAACTAAAACGATAAATACTTACTTATGAGGCACTTAGTCCTCATCATGAAGAAAACTGCAGCGGAAAAATAAAATCTAGCGAAGCTCCGGCTCCACTCCCACAGGCAGCTCAACTGGGGTATAAGCCAAACGTCTTCTCCTTCTGGATCCTTTTTCTTCAACTGAGGTTGATTGATTATTGCAAGGTGAGCATATGACATACTCAGCAAGCCACACAGCAAATATGCAAGTGCACAAGGATAACAAAGGATGGCATAATATAGGCTCATTTGCGAAAGCAGCACTTAGCAAAGAGTTAAGAGTAGTAAAACAGTAGAGTAATTAATCAGAAATTTTAATCAACACTGAACAGCACACCCATGCTGTACAGGCCCAACCATCCTGAACAACCATACCCGGCTGTACAGATCTAACTCCAAACCAGGAGCTAAACAAATTATTACCAGTTATAACATCCATAATTATTGTGAGAGGTGTGAGACTAATCACGAAAAACATTGCTCAACCCGCCCATAACCGCGGGCACGGCTATTCGAATAGTTTTACTCTGGCCAGAGGTGTACCACTGTACCCACAAGACACGATTTCACACATGTTGCCATGCCCCGAAGTACCACCACGGCACTGCAAAGGGGGAAATCGTGACAATACCCTTCGCACAACACAACTCACCACAGTGCACCATTCCTGGATCATAATCACCCCCTCAAAAACCAGAGGCATGGACTCCCCAGCGACCCCCGTGGGCTTATCTCCGCCACTTCTCAGTCTGGTGCTCCGCAATGAACTATGTTATACAAAAGGTAAAGCCGTTGCCCATGCTGGCTTGTGGTTGGCACGGTTAATGTTTCACAACAGTAGCTCGCGAACCGGTCCTTAATTGTCATGAGCACGACTCTCAAAACCATGTGCTCACAACCCACCATTAATCATATTTTAGTTGGCAAGTAATTAATTAACCAATCACGATTGACCATCGTGAACTATCATTAAGCCATCATTAAATAATAGTGAGTCATAAGTTATCCCAATAGTGTGCTAATGTTTCTAAGCATGGCTAAGCAATTATATCTAATATCTAGTTGAACCAATATATATAAAGCTCAACTAGTCCAATTATAATAACCCAAGGTATCAAGGAATAAAGTAATCAATGCAAATTGGCCATAACAAAGGAAGAGATTCACACCACCCAGTGACATTCGAAAATAAATGCACAGTTGAAATAAATAGAGAATTTAAATATAGGATCAACATGCTCAAAGGATTGTGTTTAGGATCTGTGTGACTTGCCTTGCAATAATCGGTCTTCAATTAATCTTCTGAACACTCCTGACGCACTCACGAACCTTCGCAACGACGGAAACGACAAGCTAACACGCAAAACGAAGAAAAAGACTAATAAAAACCAAATAAACAATACATATAAAGTAAACAAACATGTAGATCATAATTTTAGATGAATTATGAGACTTGAACGGCCTCATTCTGACTTCATATGAATTTATTATGAATTTTACAAGATTAAATCTAATTAAAGCCCATTTAAAAAGAATTAAATAAATTTAATTCAATTTATGGACAATTTTAATATGTAGATCTTTATTTTATACAACTTTTGCAACTTGAACCACATTAAACTGAGTTACAATGAATTAGTTATGAATTTTTAAAGATTAAATCGGATTAAAACACTTATATAGATTTTAATTGAATTATGACGCAATAATGAATTATTTTTGAAAAGAAAAAGGGAATTATTGCGTCAGCGGGTCGGGTTTGCGGTGGACCGGGTGCACGGCAGCGGTTCACGGGAACGGACGGCCGAGATCGATCTTATCCAAAACGGATGGCCGAGATCGATCGGTCCACGACCGGGCCACGGGGAACAGCAACGATAACGTCAGCAACGACGTCAGCGATGACGTCAGCACCGGCGGCGGCTCGGGAGCGCAAGCTCGCCGGCGAACGACGGCGTGACGATGCAAACGGAGGACACCAACGGGTAGAGGGCGACGCGGCGAACTCACCGGTGACCAAAACAACGGCGGAAGAGCAACGGATGGCGCCGGCGACCACGATGGCGACCTCCCCGAGCGACGACGACGACCGGAACGGCGGCGGCGCACGGCTGAAGCGGCGGCGACGACGGCGGCGCTAGGTCACACGGCGCTAGGGCGCTTCCGACGGCGAGAGACGAAGGCGAGGGAGGCGGCGGGTAGAGGAGACACCGGGGATCCTTTTAAAGGGGTTGGAAGGCAGCGGCGAAGGCCCACGGCGACCGGCGACGGGATGGAAAGCTCGGGGTTCGGAGGAAAGAAACCGATCCGATTCGACCTCGAATCCACGAACTTCCAAAGCGATTGAGACGATGATTCCAAAAGAGAAAAGGAAGAGGAGATCGAGAAGATCATTTCCCCTCAAAAGATTTCACCGGAGAAGGAAAGAATCGATCGGATTTGGAAGGAGACGGCGGCGGCTCGGACGCGGCTCGGCTAGGGTTCGGGCGGCGGCGGCCGGAGGAGGAAGACAAGTCCGACAGGTGGGGCCCACCTGTCAGCGACAGCGAGAGAGAGAGGAGAGCGGCAGCTCGGACTGGCTGGGCCGACTGGGCCGGAGAGAGAGAGAAAGAGAGGGGTTTTGGGCCGACTTTCGGCCCAAAGCCAAAAGAGACTTTTAAAACCTTTTTCAATTTAAATTATTCATGAAATGCAATTCCATTTATTAAAAATACTTCCTTAGCTCAAATAAATCCCAGAAAAATCTAGGAATTATAGAATTAAGCAAAGTATTTAATGAAATTTTATCTGGCCCCATTTTATATTGAGATTTCACAAATTAAAATTAGATCTTCTCTTTTAGGCTTTTAAGATCATTTCTAATAATTCCTTTTAAACAACAATTTATAATTTAAGGATTTTTAAATAAGAAAAGCTCTTAACAAATATAATTAAATCATTATTGATCAAATAATTACTGAACTATTCTTTGTATCATTTAGGAATTGAGCTCTGAAAAATCCGAGAAAATTTCAGAGAGTTGACTTAATCATGGAGAATTTAATAAAAATTAAATCCATCCATGCTTTATATTTAGGAAATTTTATTTCCCACATTTAACTTCACTTGTAAATTAAAGATCATTTAATATAAATTCTATTATTAAT